TGACCACCAGATATGCAATACATCACCATGATGGCCACAACCCCGAAAAGCATCGATCACTGCCGGCAGGGTTTACCTGGGCCAAATGAGCCGGAACCCAATACCAGCGAAACAATACTTTGTATGACGCCTTCAGCATGGTTGTATTAAAGGAACATTTAGTTATAAATGACCAGGCCCTATTCCAGTCCTCCAGATCCATGACTGCCCCCAGGTCACGCTCCCGTTGAGCGACATATGAGAGAGAAGTATTTATTCAAAGCTGAATAAAGAAGGGAATAAGGCGCCTGGACGCTGTTGGAAAGGCAGATTTCCGATATGGGAAAGCAGAAGTGCCCCGCAGTGAGGTCAACCAATGCCGCAATTGAAGGTAATTAAAAAATTCCGCCGGTGGGACATCCTGTGACTCTCAAAGAGAATTCCAGGTGGGAAAGGACCGAGAAATCAAAAAGTGTCACAACTGCAAAAAACCATTGGCCACCCACCTAGAAAACGCCCTTGGTTGAAAACCTGGTGGGAAAAGAGGGTTATTAACAATTGGGAGCAAAGGTAGGAAAGGTGACATCAAGCCACTGGAGTAGCGTACCGAGTCCTACACTTGTAAGCCATGGAGAAAATTGGAGTGTCAAAGGACGTAGGGCAGGGGGAAGCCATAGAAGTGTCGCAATTGATGTCGCAATAGGAGAACAATTAGGTAGTTCCAGCAGAACCCAGAGAGGAATATCAGAGGAAGCGTGCAACATAGACAACGGGGCAATCTGGCTCACCTGATAATACTTAGCTACATTAGGCATCCCAAGACCACCCTGAAGTCTATGAACAAAAAGCGCATTTCTGGAGACTCTTGGGTGCATATCGGCCCAGATAAAATGCATAATCTTTGCCTGAATCAACTGAAGGAAATGGGGAGAAACCCTCACTGGGAGGGTGCGAAAATAGTATAACAATTTCGGCAAGATGATCATTTTCACTGAATTAACCCGTCCTATCCAAGACTGGTGTGGAAATTGCCAGGAGTGCATAAGAGAGGACACCGAACAAAGCAATGGATATTAATTTGCAGCAAACAACGAGTCATAGGTGAGGGTCAAGCGAATGCCTAGGTATTCAAGAAAAAAGGAATCCCATTTGTAAGGGATGTGGGATTGTAGGTGCAAAACCAAATCTGAGGCCAAAGTATTATTAAGAGCTACAGTCTTATCTAAATTAATACGGAGACCTGAAATCAAGGCGAAGCGCACAAGAACCTGTTGCAAATTTCGAAGCATCGTCAGGTGATTAGTGAGAGTCGAGAGCAACGTCTGCAAAGAGGTTCAACTTAAACTCCTGCCCTGCGTATGGAACACCCGATACACTACAGTCGGGTTGGAGTGCTAAAGCCAGCGGCTCAAGCGCCAGGACAAAGAGCGCCGTGGACAGGGACAGCCCCATCTCATCCCTTGCCAAATAGGAAAGGGATCTGAAAAATACCCAGTGTATTTAACTGAAGCCGAGGGGGAAGAATACAAAGCCTGAATCCAAGAAAGAATAGACGCCCCAAAATCCCAACGAGAAAGCACAAACCACAGATATTCCCAGGATAGAGAATCAAAGGCTTTATATATGTCTAAGGACAGTAAGAATCCCGGGATTTTCCAGTGTTGTAGAAAGTGTATATGATGGACCACCTTACGAACGTTATCAACCACCTGACTCCCAGGGACAAAACCTACTCGGTCCATGTGGACCAGACTACAGAAATATTTATTGATACAAAAACTAAGGCTCTTGACCAATATCTTCAGGTCATCATTAAGAAGAGAAATGGGCCGAAAAGCTTGTGGTTCTTGCACATCATTGGTCGTCTTAGGAATCATGGAGATATGAGCTCCAAGCGCGTCCGGAGAGGGCAAAGTGCCCTGTCTTAACTGGTTGAAATAATCAGCCAAGAAGGGTGCCAACAGGGTTGCAAATTTCTTAGAATAGAGACCAGAAAAGCCATCGGGACCTGGGGCAGCGGTGGACCGTAGAGATTTGATAGTTTGAAACACTTCCAATACGGTGACACCAGCATTGAGGGCCATCTGCGCTGCCTTGGATAATTCAGGAAGTCAGAGATTTTGGAAGACTGCGTCTGCCTGAGCCACAGGGAAGGGATATGGTTTAGCGTAAAGACGCAAAAGGAAGTCTGGGTAACAATCTGCTGGGGATTAGAAGTACAGCCACCCGCGGGAAGTCGCAATCGGATTGGTTTGTGGGGTCTCCCCACAGAATTAAGTTTCCTCGTCAGCATCGGACCCGGCTTATTAGCACAGTAATAAAATTTATGTTTGGTCCAACGCAGGGCCCGTTCCACCTCCGAAGAATCAAGTAGGTCCAACTCTGCAGCCAGAGCATCCCGTGCGCGTTTATGGGCCACGGATAGAAATTACTTCCAACGAGCATCTGCAGAAGCCAGTAGAGAATGAAGATCCAAAGTCATCACTCTTGCTCCTGCTTCCGAGCTGCCACCAGCTGTATAATGGGACCCTGCACCGTGGCTTTATGCGCCTCACAAAAGAGACAGATGCCAAGTTTTCCGTAAAGTATGTACATAAGAAAGATTCTATTTGCTGGCAGGTAACCTGAGAGGTCAATAGAGATTCATTAATGTGCCAGTGAAAGAGGTGCCGAGTACCAGGGGATCGTGGTCTGGGCGAGGAGGGAACAGATATCAGCCTGACCAAGGGAAGCTGCTGAACATGCATGAATATATTGTCAATTCTACAAAAACTGTCATGAGGATTGGAACAGAATGTAAAGTCACGCTCAGTTGGCTAAAGTTCCCTTCAGATGTCCACCATCCCAGCCGTCTGCAGGAGAGAGCGCATACATTCCTCTAGCACTAAGTCATGAAAAGGGGGCCGCCCCCCGGGCATAGCACCTATCCAAAGTGGAATCCAAGCTGCCATTTGGATCTCCCAAAAGAAGAAGAACACCCTTGGAGTGTCGGGAAATGATGGTGCAAAGATGAGAAAAAAAATGTATGCCGAAAGCGATTGGGCGCGTAGTAAAAGACAAAAGAAACCTCCTTGTCCCAGATGGTGCCCTGTAGGAACAAATACCTGCCAGTGGGGTCCACTATATTCCAAGCGCAGACAAAGGGGAGATTGCGTTTAAAAGCTATCAATACAACCCAGAGTTTCTCAGAAGCCAATGCATTGTAAAACATGGGATAATGGGCTGAAAGATACCGTGGAGTGGAGTACTGAGAACCTGGTTTCCTGCAAACACACCATGTCAATTTGTTGCGATTTGAGGTGATGAAAAACTTTAGCCCCCTTCTGAGGCGAATTGAAGCCTTGAACATTTTGTGAATGTATTTTCAAAAAGGGTGAGGTCATGGAGGTATCAGCACAGCGCGCTCAGCAGAAAAAGCATAAGTCAGCCAACGCTTTCCACTCCCAATGGCGGTCGGACTGTGGTGTCCCGAAACCCTACATAAAACAAAAACAGAAATACCAGAGAAGAAAAGAAAACAAGAAAAGGAAAGAAGAAGACAACACAAGGAGTATGTACAATAGTACAATCGTATCACGCCAATGGTGACGTGCATCCTACACTGAAGGATACCAGTTGGGGGTGGCTCTACCACCGGAAAAATGAAAACATCAAAAACATAAGCCCTTGGGGGGCAAAAAGACAATAGACACAACATAACGGACCTCCACATTGGAGACCAAGCTAAACTTGTGGGGCCAACCCCCTCCAGGAGGACAACTACAGGCTGCCATGGAGCCCAAGAACACAGCCCAAGTGGTCCACCACCAATATTCCAGTAGGACCGACATCCCAGCACCCAACTAGGGCCCACTCAGGATCGAAGTGAAGGGATTCAACTGGCGGCACTTCTAAAGAGTGGTTCGCAAAGAGCTGGTAGGGATACCCCTAGAATCTGACGTCTGGGTTGTTTTTCTGGCCACAAGGAGGATAGTTTCCTTAGTGTGGTAGTAAGTGAATTTGATGATGTTGTCTCTCGGGGGCCCATCCAGTCGTCTGGGGCCCAATGCACGGTATATGTGGTCATATTTGAGCCGGTCAATGAGAATGCGGGCATCAGCTCCTGAATCAGAGCAGTAGCAGTTGCAGTGAGATCTGTGACAGTTTCTGGGATACCCCTTAAAAGCAATTTTCCACGGTGGGAATGGTTTTCGAAATCCTCAAGCTGGAGCAGCACATCCACCAATTCTTTCTTGAGGTCACACAGATCCTGTTCATGACTTTCAATGACCGTGGCTGCAGTGTCCATTTTATCTTCAAGATCGTTCGTCTGGTTGCCCAACTCCTGGATTTTTCGCGAAAGACGGTCAGCCAGCTTCGAAGTAGCGGAGGACAATTCCGACTGCAGCATTGACTTGAAGCGGCAAAGGAGCTCAGCATTCCTCAGAGCTGTAGTGGTTGAGTGCAGGGATGCCTCTGATGCCAGGACGTCAACACCCACTGGGATCGGGACCATCTGTGGGTAGCAGCGGCGGGGGACACAAAATTGAGGCCGGGGCTTCAGATGTGGCCTCCGGTGGGTGACCAGAACTCGAGGCTGGGGCTTTGGATACGGCCTCCTGCGTGGGCCCTAAAATCGAGGCCGGGACTTCAAACGCAGCCTCCGGCGGATAGGCCACAAGTTCCGGCGTGGCTCACTGAACACTGGAAGCACAGGCGGCTCCAGTCTTCTTGCCCATCAGGGCAGCGGGGGACAAGGGATAAGGAGAAGCTGGAGGGAAGGTATGTGTCAGGGTCCTGTCCATGGCAGAAGTTCTGGAAGATCTGGCATTTCTGCCAGTACTCTACATGGCCGCAGAGGTACACATCAGCCTCAGTCTGGTGCCAGACGGCCTTTATAAGGAGGCTCATCACTTCCTCTGGTTGCTGGATGATCTCTAGCTCCCCGTGCCCTGTTCCTGTTTCCTGTGGTTCTGACTTGTCATTTCCTGTTGCCGACTTGGCTTGCTCCTGGACCTGTCTACTCTGATTTACCCCTGATCTGCCCTCGGCTTGGCTTACGGATACTCTCTCTCTCACTCCTCTGTGAATGACCTCGGCTTTCCTATCTGACTACGTCTGCTCTGATTCTCACCTGGTACCTGACCTTGGCTTGAACCGACTACCCGATAAACATCTTGCATAGCACGCACAGGAGCCTCCTGTCTGCAGACCTATCTCCGTGCATTTTGGTGCTTTTGAGTGGACCACCAACCAGCACTCCTACAGGTGACCTGTGCAACTTTGGGCCTGACTCCCGCTGTCCCACTCTCAGGGGAGTCCAGAACTTAGCTGCAAGGGAAGCCCTCTCTCCATTGGCCTCCATCACCAGGTACGTGATAGTATGTGACCCCCCCCCGAGAGCTAGTGAATCGGTCGATGTGCCCGCCGGCTTAGGAGCTGGCCTACAATGTGGCCATCGTAGTGCTGCTCATAAGCGCCCCCCATATCTTAAATTTTGAACCATATTGTGGGTGAAGTAGTAGACAAAAAGCATTCACCTGGTTTTAGATTCACTAGATGATGGACATGATTAGAGACCTTCTACCGATCATCTATTGAAATTGTATGGATGCATTGCATTTTGGTTTGGTATCCCAAGTGTTCAGAGAGGGATAAGGAAATAATCCACACTGTGCAGAAAATTCTGGTCTGTAGACTTCTCTCTCTAGATGAAATTTATGAATCTTGCTGTCTATGTAGAGCAGAGAAAAGTAAATGATTTGTCTCACCTTGGTCACCATTTATTTGAATTTATGCAATCTGATAAAACATTAAAGTGAGGACAAACAGATTTAGAGAGAGTTTTTTTTTCCAAGGTCTATAAAAGTATTAAATACGGAAAGAATATTAAAGTAATGAGCCGGGTGGTTCTAGGTTGCTGTTATTGGTGTTCTTATTTTTAGAATATTTTAGTATTCTAGGCATTGATTTGATTTGTGTACTGTGCATCGGTGTGTGATGTATTGTTTTTAATTTTTTTGTGGTTTGTTAAAATGAGGAGTAGGATAGAACTTTCATTGTGAATTTATTTTTGCAATGACAAAAAACATCTAGATTTGTCTTATCTTATCATATGTTATCTTCTCATACCCTGACTTATCTTATCTCTTATGATTGTGCCTAACTGAACCATCAATAACATCAATAACCTACACAAGATTAGAGATGTGTTTTACACTATTACTATGCAAAAGGTCAGTTCAATTTTTAATTCAAAGCTTCTCTTTTCATGTTTTATTTTAGCATGTTTATCTCTCATTTGGAAAGCTTGTTAAATTATTCTGCATTACTTCATAACATTTCTGACACTAATTAATCCATCAGCAGCAGCTGTAACAACTGTGGTCCACTGGGAAGACTTGGATGCAGCGACTGCAAACGTTTCTAAATTAAATAGTGAGTGATAGCTTTATGAAACCTATAAAAGCCCAACTGAATTAAAGAGAAAAGCAATGCGATGAATGTCACACTAATATCCACAAGGCCTCTAAGATTGATATATTTCAATTTAAAGTATTCAGATTGAATAGAACATTTTTAGGAATTGTTGATTCTGCAAGACATAATTCCAAGCCATGAACTCATCTGTGAAAAATGTCTCTGTGACCAACTTTGTTCTGGTGGGACTTATTGAGCTTGAACCATTTCGATATGTATGTGCAGTTTTGGCTCTTGCATTATTTTCAATCACATTGTTTATGACTTCTATGATTGTCTATGTAACCTGGACAGAGAAAAGCTTGCATGAGCCTATGTACATCTTAATATGCATCATGGTTATCAATGTGATGTTCGGGAACGCAGCATATTTTCCCAAGCTGGCCATTGACTTGTTTTCTGGATGCTCAACCATCTCACTTGCAGGATGTCTCTGTCAATCTTTCTGTATTCAGCTTTATGGAACTTATGAATTATTTACTTTTACAATATTGGCATATGATCGATATCTGGCTGTAGGCCACCCTCTGAGATACCACACTCTGATGACCAACTACACAACTCAAACAATATCACTTGCCTTATATGTTTTCAATGTGGTGATAGTAATTGTGGGTATATTATTGACATTTAGACTAATATTTTGTGGGGTAAATGTTAACAACGTCTATTGTGAGATCATGTCTCTAGAACCACTTGTTTGTAGCGATATGACAATTAATGTCATCTATAGAACGACTTTGACCTTGTTCAATTTGACTAGCTGCTTGCTTGTAATAATGTTCTGTTACATAGGAACAGTTGTCATCTGTCTGAAACTTTCTGCCGAATCTTCCCAGAAAGCCATACATACATTGGTGACTCACATATTGGCCTTTTCTATTTATATTGCCACCCTCTTATTCCTAAATTTCAGGTACAGTCTAACTACAGGTTCTGAATCAACCAAAGTTGATGTTATCATACCTTTGATCGGTACCGGCGTAGCTACTTCTGCAAACCCTCTGATCTACGGGATGAGGACTAAAGCTCTCAGAGAAAAAATTGTAGGGAAAACTGCATAAAATTGTTGGCCAAACAAAATAATAAAAAAATATATATATATATATATATTTTTTTTAGCAGCAGTCTTACCATTGTAGAAATGTGTTATTTTTTTAAATTTCTTTTTATCTTTTTGGGGATTTTGTAGGAAACGGCTGTAGTCGAGCCTGTTGGAGTGTGCCTGTTATAGTTCTCTATGCATGGACTGTACTAATGTCAGAAGTGCCATTCTGTGTTATGGGTGTTTAGTTTAGTGCCAATCAGCAGGCATGGTGGGGGGCTTATGAACTGGCTGGGAATGTATTACAGTAAATATTTCAGATACTTCAAGGCACATAGTCTTCTCTTCTGAGCTTCTGTCTGGTGATGATTCTACAGTGAGTTCTATCATTCTCTCAATCCTTTTAGCCTAGAGATTGGAGTGCTGCTGTCAGGGCTCCGGGGTATGACCAGAGGTATGTGACTGACGCAGAGAAACGCAGGCTTCAGATATGTTACAAACAATATAATTTATTAATACTAACAATACAAAACGCAATGCAATACTAAAACATAACACAGTGCAAACGAACCAAACCAAACCACCCACAGATAACAATACATACAATGCAAGCATAGTCAGGCAGGCCGGGTCAATAACAATAACAATCGGGCAGGTGGGAACAGGAGGAGCAGGCAGAGAGTAGTCAGGTCACGAGCCGGGTACAGCAACTAATGGGCAGGTAGGTACAGGGGGTCAGGCAGAGAATGGTCGGGGTCACAAGCCAGGGATCAAACAGGAAAAGTCAGCAGAGGTCCGGATCAGGCAGGGTCGGCAACAAATCAGTCAGACAGGAACAGGAATGCAGGTAACAAGATACAGGGGCCCATGGAAAAACACACACACAAGGCACAGACGTCAGGTCTGGCCATCCCCTAAATACACCTGCAATCAGCCTCAGGTGTTTGGCTGACTGCAGGGTTGAGTCTCTGATTGCTGAGAGCACCCGCTGGCCAGCCCTGGTGCTGCAGCCCACAAGGCAGGTAAATCCCACCATTATTGGCAAGTCCATTCCTGACAGTACCCCCCTCAAGGAGCGGCCTGGACAGGGCTGGACTCCGGGTAGAGGCACATCGGGCTGGACTCTGGGCAGAGGCACATCGGGCTGGACTCCGGGCAGCGGCACATCGGGCTGGACTCCGGGCAGCGGCACATCGGGCTGAACTCCGGGCAGCGGCACAGGGCCCCCAGGAGGAGCGGCAGGCACAGGGCCCCCAGGAGGAGCGGCAGGCACAGGGCCCCCAGGAGGAGCGGCAGGCACAGGGCCCCCAGGAGGAGCGGCAGGCACAGGGCCCCCAGGCAGAGCAACAGGCACAGGGCCCCCAGGCAGAGCGGCGGGCGCCGAGCCCCCAGGCAGAGCGGCGGGCCCTCAGGCGGAGCGGCGGGCACCGGGTCATCAGGCACGACAGCGGGTATCGGGTCACCAGGCATCAGGTCATTTGGCTCGACAGAGGGCACCGCGTCATCTGGCAAGGCAGTGGGCACCGAGTCACCAGGCACGACAGTGGGCTCTGAGTCAATTGGCAGGACAGCAGGCACCGGGTCATCAGGTACCGGATCGTCTGGCTCGACAGCAGGCACCGGGTCATCTGGCGCTGGATCGTCTGGCTCGACAGTGGGCATCGGGTCACCAGGCATGACAGCGGGCACTGGGTCATCAGGCATTGGATTGTCTGGCTCGACAGCGGGCATCGGGTCACCAGGTATGACAGTGGGCACTGGGTCACCAGGCATCAGGTCATTTGGCTCGCCAGCAGGCACCGCGTCATCTGGCAAGGCAGTGGGCACCGAGTCACCAGGCACGACAGTGGGCTCTGAGTCAACTGGCATGACCGCGGGCACTGGGTCAGACATTGGATCGTCTGGCTCGACAGCGGGCATCGGGTCACCAGGCAACAGGTAATTTGGCTCGACAGCGGGCACCGCGTCATCTGGCAAGGCAGTTGGCACCGAGTCACCAGGCACGACAGTGGGCTCTGAGTCAATTGGCACGACAGCGGGCACCAGGTCATCAGGTACCGGATCGTCTGGCTCGACAGCAGGAACCGGGTCATCTGGCGCTGGATCGTCTGGCTCGACAGCGGGCATCGGGTCACCAGGCATGACAGCGGGCACCGGGTCATCAGGTACTGGATCGTCTGGATCGACAGCGGGCACCGGGTCATCTGGCGTTGGATCGTCTGGCTCGACAGCGGGCATCGGGTCACCAGGCATGACAGCGGGCATCGGGTCACCAGGTGGAGCGGCGGGCGCCGGGCCCCCAGGCGGAGCGCCGGGCGCCGGACCCCCAGGAGGAGTGGCGGGCACCGGGCCCCCAGGCACCGGGTCATCAGGCACGACAGCGGGTATCGGGTCACCAGGCATCAGGTCATTTGGCTCGCCAGCGGGCATCGCGTCATCTGGCAAGGCAGTGGGCACCGAGTCACCAGGCACGACAGTGGGTTCTGAGTCAACTGGCATGACCGCGGGCACTGGGTCAGACATTGGATCGTCTGGCTCGACAGCGGGCATCGGGTCACCAGGCATCAGGTCATTTGGCTCGACAGCGGGCACCGCGTCATCTGGCAAGGCAGTGGGCACCGAGTCACCAGGCACAACAGTGGGCTCTGAGTCAATTGGCACGACAGCGGCACCGGGTCATCAGGTACCGGATCATCTGGCTCGACAGCAGGCACCGGGTCATCTGGCGCTGGATCGTCTGGCTCGACAGCGGGCATCGGGTCACCAGGCATGACAGCGGGCACTGGGTCATCAGGCATTGGATCGTCTGGCTCGACAGCGGGCATCGGGTCACCAGGTATGACAGCGGGCACTGGGTCATCAGGCGTGATAGGATCATCAGGCTGGATCAGTTCATCAGGCTGGGTACAGACATCAGGCTGGGTACAGACATCAGGCTGGGTACAGACATCAGGCTGAAGTGCGGGTGCCGAGGCACCAGGCTGAACCACGGAAGGCAGGTTCTCAGATGGCCGGCTCACCGGTTTGGATACTGGCAGGATGGTACTGGTTGGAAAGAATTTTCGCTTTTTTCTGGTTTTAACTACTGGAGCACTGCAAGTAAATGCAGGTCTGCAAACGAATGGAGCAGCTGAGGACAAAGAAGAGCTGGAAGATGGAACAGAGGAGGGAGCAGCCGCCACAGAGGACCTTTCCACAGGGCCAAAGAAAGGATAGGTGCAGCGAGTGGGAGCAGGGGACTGGTATGTGGTAGTTAGCAGAGTATACTGGGCCGTCACTGGGGGTGCTGTCAGGGATGCAGGAAGAGTGCCTTGAGCAGAGGAATGACGTTGCAAGCTGACTGAGGCTGGGTGCAACAAGTCTGACCATGTCTGCAGTATGGGTTGAACAAAGCTGAGCTTACACAAAGCCTGTCTGGTCAAAGACTGCACTGCGTTTATACAATCCCTTAATACATGTGGTGAACATGCAGCATAATGCTCCAAGAAGCAATCCACATCATCCTCTAATAACCATACCAGGGACTCTACCTGGTCTGCACTAAATGGTGGCAAAAAGTCATTCCTGCTTTCAGGGGTACCAGATGAAGCCAACTCTACACAAACCTGAATCAAAGGTTGCACCTCAGAGAACTCTGTGCCCTGATCTACTAGAACATGAGCAATCCATATACATTCTAGCAGTTGATCCCAAGTATACTCCCTCAGAGTCTGATAAGCATATTTTCGGTCATCAAAAACCAGCAGCAACAAATACACAACCTCATCAAGATCCATCCTTCCCAGCAACAAGCCAAGATTCCCTGTGCAGCCACTTCTGGTCAGGATTGGCCTTGGTGTAATGTCAGGGCTCCAGGTATGACCAGAGGTATGTGAACTGACGCAGGGAAACGCAGGCTTCAGATATGTTATAAATAATATAATTTATTAATACTAACAATACATAAACGCAGTGCAATACTAAAACATAACACAGTGCAAACGAACCAAACCAAACCACCCACAGATAACAATACATACAATGCAAGCATAGTCAGGCAGGCCAGGTCAATAACAATCGGGCAGGTGGGAACAGGAGGAGCAGGCAGAGAGTAGTCAGGTCACGAGCCGGGTACAGCAACTAACGGGCAGGTAGGTACAGGGGGTCAGGCAGAGAATGGTCGGGGTCACAAGCCAGGGATCAAACAGGAGAAGTCAGCAGAGGTCGGCAACAAATCAGTCAGACAGGAACAGGAATGCAGGTAACAAGATACAGGGGCCCATGGAAAAACACACACCAATGCACAGACTGCAGGTCTGGCCATCCCTTAAATACACCTGCAATCAGCCTCAGGTGTTTGGCTGACTGCAGGGTTGAGTCTCTGATTGCTGAGAGCGCCCGCTGGCCAGCCCTGGTACTGCAGCCCACAAGGCAGGTGAGTCCCACCATTATTGGCAAGTCCATTCCTGACAGCTGCACAAATGTCCCTTACTGCCTACAAGGGATATGAAAGCTACACACCTAACACCCTGCTACATTTCTAACCCTGTTAAGGAATGCAGTCCCTGGCATTACATTACATGTTAATATAGCAGGAGAACAACCAAATAGAACAATGTATAAACACAGATAACCAGTAAGTAGTTCAAGTAAAGTAATCAGAGTACTGGGCAGGCATCAGTACCTTCAAATTTCACCTGGGCAGGCAAGGTTCAGGGTTCTGGAATTTTACATTCTCTTTAAGAGGATCAGGAGTGCTTGGACTACAAATTCCTCTCTAGAATGGTCCACTCCAAGGCTTCTTCAACCTCGATGCTGTCTATCTTGGCAGAAAGTGGACATGCAGGAACGAATGCAACAGAAAATGAGTCCATACTGAACACACATGGGCAAATCAGGCAACTGTTTGTGAGGTCTGTCTAGTTCCTCGGACACAGATGCTTTCTTATGGAACTGGACACACTAATATTTGGTGTGGTGGCAGGGGCGGACTGAAAACTCATGGGGCCCCTGGGCAATAGGGGATCATGGGGCCCCTATGTCCTTGCCCAAACTCAAAAAAGCCTATATGAAAAAGATACCAAGGGCATCTCATGGGGCCCCCTACTGACCCCTGGCCCTCCGGCAGTGCCCAAGTTTCCAAATTGTCAGTTTGGATAGGAGACATATGACCCTAACTTTTTCTGAGCACTGGATGCTTTGAGTCTGATAAGTTCAACAAGCCTGTAACTTACTCTTTACTCATCAGTGACCAAGCTTCTCATAGAAGGAGGGATATGTTCATATCACACAGCACTTTCATGCCCACAGCTGTGAGGAGGTATGTGCTGGAGGAAGCTGGCAAAGGACTTAAGGATTTAAACTGAAACAGAAGCACAAGGGACATTTCACATTGAATGTAAGTATTGCATGTTCCACAAATGAGAATCAGCAGGTATGTCTTTTTGGCGATAATACAAAAGAGTGTAATAGGGTTGATATCCCTGGAGGCAGTGATGTATTTTGTTTTTGTGTTGCCCTAGGCAAGAGAAAATCAGGCATCCCCCCATCTGAATTTGTCCCACCCTTTCCTGTTTAAGATTTACCCCTTCAGGACAGGACAGGAGGGGGGCAGCGTGACAGGAGGGGCAGCCGGACAGGTGGGGGTAGGGGCGTATCTGCCACGAGACAAACAAGGCGTTTGCCTAGGGCTGCAGTTTACAGGGGTTGGCACGCCCCCCCCAGGCAGAAGGGACACTATGTGTGCAGGGCTGCCATGGGCTGGGGCCCGCTGTCAGTGTGAGCCGGGATGTGCAGGATGGCCAGAAGATGCCAGCGGAGGAGGAAGAAGAAGAGGACAAGGTCAGGGTGCAGGAGCCCCCTGCTTTTTTGCAGCCACCACCGGAGATCCTGGGGGAGATGGAACAAAGGGACCCCTCCTTGAGTGATGCTGACACCATCTAGAGGAGCCCCTGCTGGACAGGTAAGTGCTTGGATAACTGGTGCTTCCCCACTCCTGTCTCACTGTCCCCCCAACACATTGCTCCCCACCTGTTCTATTTTCCTCCCCCGTCCCATTGCCCCCCCATCCATCACACTGCCTCCTGTCACTCTGCCCCCAGCTGTCACCCTGCTCCACACCTGTTTCACTTCCCCCCTCCTGTCCCCCACACTGTCCCACTACCCCCCATCTGTCCCCACTGCCCCTCACCTGTCCCTCTGCGCTCCTCCCATCCTGCTGCCTCAATACTGTCCCATGCCCCCCATCATGCTGCCCCTCACTTTCCCTCTGCGCTCTCCTGTCCCACTGCCCCTTACCTGTCCCTTTGCGCTCCTCCTGTCCCGCGGTCTCTATCCTGTCCCATGCCCCCCATAATGCTGCCCCCCACCTGTCCCTCTGTGCTCCCCCTGTCCCACTGTCCCTATCCTGTCCCATGCCCCCGTCACGCTGCCCCCCCCACCTATCCCTCTGCACTCCTCCTGTCCTGCTGCCCCAATCCTGTCCCACACCCCCTGTCAAGCTGCCCCTCACCTGTCCCTCTGCGCCCCTTCTGTCCCTCTGCACTTATCCTGTCCCACTGCCCCTCACCTGTCCCTCTGCACTCCTCCTGTCTCTCTACTCTTCTCCTCCTGTCCCACTGGGCTCCTCCTGTCCTGCTGCCATGATCCTGTCCCATGCCCCCCATCATGCTGCCCCCCACCTGTCCCTCTGCCCCCCACCTGTCCCTCTGCCTACCCTCCCATCATGCTGCCCCCCCTCACGCTGCCTCCCTCTTGTCCTGCTACCCCCCCCCCCCACCTGTCCCAATGGCCTACTCCTGTCCTGATATCCCGCATCATGCTGCCCTCCTCCTGTCCCACTGCCCCCTTCCTGTCCTATGGCCCCCCATCATGCTGCCCCCTCCTGTCCTGCAACACTCCCCGATGTCACACGGTCCTCCATCATGCTCCTGTCCTGAAGAGGTGGATCTTAAACAGCAAAGGGAGGGACAAATTTAGATTGGAGGTGCCCGATTTTAATCTTGCCTAGGGCAGCACAAAACCAAAATACACTACTGGGCGGGGGGGGGGGGGGGGGGCAGTGGGACAGACAGGGTAGCGGAACAAGAAGGGGGCAATGGGACAGGTGGGGGGAAGCAGGACAGGAGGGTGACAGGAGGGGCGCAAAGGGACAGGTGGGGGCAGCATGACGGGGGGGCACTGTGACAGGAGTTGGGAAGCATCAGTCCTCCAAGCTCTTACCTGTTAAGCAGCAGCTCCTCCAGATGGTGTCAGGATCTGGTGTCGGGAGCAGTAGTTGAACCTGTGTCTCATCTCCACCAGGATCTCCAGCGGAAGTTGCAACAAAGAGTGGGGGGGCTCCTTCACCCTGACCTTATAGTCTCTTCCTCCTTCTCCACATACCTTCTGCTGGCACCCCCTGGCCTCAGCCACCCCACACAGCTCGGTGCACACTGCAGATCCTGACTGGAGCCTGCCTGACAGCTGGCCATGGCCCCCCGGACTGCTCCTTGCGCACACCAGCGATCCACCCACCACTCCGCCTTCCTCTGCAGCTGGTCCTCATACATATGTGTCGGCTCCCCTCCCCGATAATAGACCTGCAGCTCACAACCACCCCTTCTGTCTGGGAGTGGCACTGTCCCCCTGTAAAATGCCTGTTGCAGTAGATACGCCTCTGCCTGGAGGTGTCTGTAACATGGAACATGATTTGGCAGTGCTGGAAGATTGGTCAAAGAAGTGGAAACTGCAGTTCAATGTTTGTAAATGTAAAATAATTCACTTTGGGAAATAGAATCCCTTGAGAGAGTACAACATTGGGGGTCCAGTGTTGTCCAGCACTTCAGAGGAAAAGGACTTGAGGGTATTTATTTCAGATGATTGCAAAATGAGCAAAAAGTGTGACCAAGTAGTGGGAAAAGTGAATGGAATTCTAGGATGCATCACTAGAGGGGTCACCAGCAAGAGGAAAGAGGTCCTGATTCCTCTATATAGATCTTTATATCACTAGAGGGGTCACCAGCAAGAGGAAAGAGGTCCTGATTCCTCTATATAGATCTTTATATCACTAGAGGGGTCACCAGCAAGAGGAAAGAGGTCCTGATTCCTCTATATAGATCTTTATATCACTAGAGGGGTCACCAGCAAGAAGAAAGAGGCCCTGATTCCTATATAT